GTTGTGGTTGGGGGGGGGGGGGGTTCAGTGACTCTGCCCATCCCGAACGTATTTGGCAACGCTGTGGCATCTCTCTTGAAGGGGTTTCGGGGGGGGGGGGTAGCCCTGTTAGTCTGTAACTTTTAAAAAAAGGAGTAGTCTTGTGGCACCTTACAGACTACCAATATATAAATAGAATCATGAGCTTTCGTGGGCAAAGCCCACTTCTTCAGATGAGATGAGCTTGAGTGAAGGGTGTTTCTTCTCTTGCGGTACCAAGGTAGCCAACAGCTGTGTAGGTAGGGAAGGAGTAGGTTAAGTGTGATTTATACAGAGTGCGGAATAGCAATCCTGTATGAGAAGGCACGGTGAGCTCTTTCTGTTTGCATCGTTTTTCCTGGATCCCGGTACCGTTCAGCGAGATGTTATTGCTGCCACTGGAACTGATGTGTGCTGTTCTGATTAGGGAATGTGTTGATTTTTGGTCTGCAACGTAATTTATTCTGTTGCATCTGTATCTGGAAGTAGTTGTATCTTAAAAACAACCAACAACAACAAATCAGCTACAGAGTAACTAAGGAATCTTTGCGGTGATATCGGAGAGAGAAAGGGATTTCTGAACATAGTTTATTGTATATGTTTAGCTTTCATCAATCGGTTCAAACTTCATCTCCATGTTTCCACAGTAATGATGCTTTTTTCTTTTTTTTCCCTGTGGTGTTCATTTTTTTCTTTAGTTCATTAGGGCAAAGAAAGAGGATTAGGGTTTTGATTTTTTTAGGAGTGTAGGCTTTTTTAAAACAACAACAACAACAACACTGGTTTCAGTTCAGAAAAAAAGGCAGAATAAGGATCAAAGCCTATAAATCTAAGAGGATGATAGAAAATACTGAAAAGAGAGAGAACTGTCAAGACCCTTCTCCCCTTCATAATCTCAACCCTCAAATAGGAAACACTCCAGACTGGGATCACCAGTCTTCTGAGCAATAGACTGAGAAATAAATGGAAATAGAAAGAAAAGAAATAAGGGCTTAACAGGACTCTGGATGTTCTTTCCCCCTTCTCTGCTTCTTAAAATGACTCTTTTAAGTTAACAAGCACAGAGAACAGTAATCCAGAGAATATTGCAAGAAAGATTGTGCAAAACCAGGGGAAGGATAGAGAATAAGAAAGTGATTCAGAAAGCCCTTGTCAGCCAGCTTCATAGTTCTGTTTGCCATAGGTGGTCTAATCTGCCCTGGTTTTATTGTTATTTCAATAGCTTTTCTAAACAGAATTTGAAGGATTGATTTTTTCCACTTGCCTAGTTGTAGATAATGAAATGTGGACACATTCACATTCACAGAGTGGGTTTTATCATTGTCCAGTTAAAGTATCCAAACAATTTGTAAATAGATTTCTGAAAGAGGAGACTGGGCAGACAGAAGAACTGGGGCCCCATGTTGATCCCATTGACTTTAATGCAAATTTGGTCTTTATCTTCAGTGGAAGCAGGAGTGGGCCTCTCTTGTAGTGGCTGTATAGATGCTGTTATTTTGTTAGGCATTTAGATCAACTCATGTTTCTTTGCCAGACTGATTTCCTCTCAAATGTAATTATGGCATATTGAGAGCATTCTGAAAAATAAAAACAGAAACAAACAGTAACAAACCCCAAACAGTTTCTTCCCATAGATTCTCTCCTGCCCCTTTCCACTTTAACTTGGTGTAGAAGGTCACCTTACCGTATTCTAATTGTATGAGTACATTCCCTTGTAACAGTCTTTACTATTCCATCCTCCAGGTTCTGAGATCACCAGAGCTGCTTCCAGTAGCTATAATGCATCCCACTTATTTATTCAAGTCTGTTATAATTGGTACCAGTTCAGAAGATAGAGTATAATGTTTTCAGAAGAGGAGTGAAATTGCAGAAATGATATATAATTCCTCCATCACTCCTCTCAGCTAAAACAGTTTTAAGTTTTATTATATATTTGTTTAACACATTAAACTTAGGGCATGATTCCTTCTAAAAGTGTCATATAAAATCCATTGCACATTTTCTTAACAATTACTAGGCCTTCTCTTTGTCAGTGGTAATATGCCTTTCCCTCTTTTCCCTTACTGAGGCTGTGTTCATGTTTTCACTCAATCTAACAAGATTTGGGTTCATCACTGTGTAACTAAATTAGTTTATGAACCACAATACTTTTTAAATGCCTTGGAAATTGACTTCTTCCCCCTGCGGTACAATTTAATTATGTCACAATTACCACGTCCAATGGGCTTTATATAGGTCATGGACCCGATGTAGATTTTTTTTTTTTTTTTTTTGGCACTCAACTGATTTATCTTTGTTTGTTTTCCAGGTATTAGTTAATATTGGCAACCATTTTGATCTTGCTTCCAGTATATTTGTAGCACCAAGAAAAGGGATTTATAGTTTCAGCTTCCATGTGGTCAAGGTCTATAACAGACAAACTATTCAGGTGGGTAGCAATTTAAACATTCTATAGAAGATTTTTCTTCCCTGCACTCTCTTTGCTTTGAAAATTTTGACCTATGAACTCTAGTTAGTATATAAAAGTACAATGCCTGAAGAATTGACTGTTTATTAAAGAAAACATTTTTGTCTGCTGCTGTAATAAAATGATGGAACAAAATAAGAATGATCATTGATTAGTTTTAGATCAGCTCAAACTTGTTGCTTTTGAGAGTGAAAGGTTAATTAAGTACACGAACAAAAAGTGAATATTGAGAATACTCAGGTTTTTTTGTCTCTCTGCATTTTAGGTAAGTTTAATGCAAAACGGCTACCCAGTGATTTCAGCTTTTGCAGGAGATCAGGATGTTACCAGAGAAGCAGCCAGCAATGGAGTCTTGCTCCACATGGAGAGAGAAGACAAAGTGCATCTCAAACTGGAAAGGGGTAACCTCATGGGAGGGTGGAAATACTCAACCTTTTCCGGCTTCTTAGTCTTCCCGCTATAAAAGAAGGCTGAATAGGAGCCAGATTCTTAAGCAAGAACAAGGATTGAGTCGTTGATGACACCCTGAACCTGGCAGAACATGACAATATTTCCAACCACGCAATCAGACTGTCATGTTAGAAGAATGATAACCTTCTAAACTCCAATATTTGCTTTGAAAATTGACAATTCCTCGGGAAACCTGCGCCTCTAATTAGTTTTAGATGACAGTGATCTTTAGGAGAAATGAAAATATCGACCTGAGCAATTTGTACCTGTGATTGTAAAGTCAATTTCGGATTTCATTGTTGGGATCATTGACTTTTTTCGTTCTTTTGGTTGTTGTTGTTGTCTTGATGAGACAAGTAAGTTGGACCACAATCACTTGTCAAACGCTCCAGAGCCAGAAGAGTACACCACCTGATGAAGTGTTCTTTCAATGATTTTTTCTTTGTGTTGTATAGCCTTACAGAAAAAATGGCTTCAGTCTAAGTCCTGTATTTTCTGGGGGGAGGGGGAATTCTGGACATTGTTGTGTCAAGAAGTGCTTTATCCAGTGAAGCAAAATTTGCACGATTGGAACCTATCTTGTTTTGTGTTCATATTTTTCATCAGCAACTTATTTTTTATTTTCTGATATTTTTGTGCTAACAATTGTAAGCTAGATTGATCAATAAGACAAAACAAAGCACATATATACTTTGTAGCTCCAAGTAAAACTAACCAATGAACAATTCTATCTGCACTTTACAGATGCATCCAGAGAGGGAATAACATGATTGTTGAGTTAATCTCAAATCTGTAAAGAAACTGACATTTCTGAATTATCCTGACATTTCTAGAAGCAACAGTAGAGGCTTTGAATATCTTATCTGACCATATTCTACAATATATTATTTCTTTGCATTACTGAGTGTATTTTGGTGCTTTTCTCTGATATTTATTCATTTATTTATTACATTTGCTCATTAATGCTTGGGTACAGTTTGTGGGAGCACTGAAAGATGACAGACCAAACTCCTTCTTCTCCAAGTTAAATAAAAGAAGATCCCTGATTTTCCCACCAGGATCAGGTATATCATCAGTTACCACTATTGTTTTTGACAGCGTATGGGAGTGGAATGTCAGAGGCCTGAGGCTGTGAAACTGGTTTAAGGTGTATATAGCATCAATGAATGCATCACAGAATTATATCATTTATTTATTTATTTGTTATCTATGTATGCTTCTCCTCTTAGCACACAGGCTCCAAAGAGATCTGGGTGCATACTCCATCCAGTACTGTATGCCATGAAAAATAATGAATTCCAAGTGATAAAAGATGAAATCTCAGGTTGAATTTAAATTCATCCTTTTTCCGTCAATGTAACCAAAATGCTGACTAACTTAAGATTCAAAATAAATGGGTTTGATGTCCATCTTGTTTTTTCACTTCTATATATAAGGGTCAGAGGATTAAATGATGCACTAGGAAATA